TGGTTGGGTTTAAATCTTACTATTTATTTTCTGTTTGTCTCATCTGTTCTTTATATTTTTGCCTCTTTTTCTGCCTTCTTTTGAATTGAATGGATTCTTATGATTCCACTTTATCTCCACTTGTAACTTATTAGCTATACATCTTTGTTTTCTTGTTTTAGTGAGTGTTTAGCATTTATATGTAATTTCATTGTGCCTTTACTTAATCACAGTCTGTCTTAAATAATATATCCCAGATTACTTTCATGTAACTCCTCCCATTCTTTCTAGTGTTGCTACATGTTTTACATCTGCATGTTTTAGAAACCTCACAGTAAACATATCTTATATACACCACATTTCCCGTGTTCTTCATTCTTTTGTGTACATCTAATTTCTACTTGGTATCTGTTTTTCATCTACCTATGAAACTTTCCTTAATATTTCTTTTAGAAAAATCCTCTGGCAATGAATTACCTCAGTCTTGTTTGTATGGAACATATTCATTTTTAAAATTAATTGAAAAGTTGATTAATTGAAGTTAATTTTTGAAACATTGACAGATTTCTTTTTTTCCTTTTAGCTCCCTAAAGCTGTCATTCCACTGTCNAAAAGTCTACTGTCAGTTTTATCTTTGTTCTTCTTGAAAGTGTCTTTTTTTCAATTGCTTTTAAGATTTTGTCTTTGTCACTGATGTTTAGCATTTTGATTATGATATATCTTGGTGTGATTTTCTCCATGTTGGTTCTGGTTGGGGCTCTGAATCTCTTAGATCTTGGGTTTATAGTTTTTATAAGATTTGGTAAGTTTTTGGTTATAATTTCTTTGCATAATTGTTTCTTCCCTTTTCTCTTTTTTCTTTCCTTCTGGGACTCCCATTAGACATATTTAGACCACTTAATATTGACTTCTAGATCCTTGACGCTCTGTTTATTTGTTTAAGTCTTTTTTTTCTGTGTGCCTTATTTTGGATAGTTTATATTGTTGTATCTTCAGCTTCACTGATCTTTTTTTCTGCTATGTCTAATATCTCTACTAATTTGTTATTAATCCTATACAATGCATTTTTCATGTAAATGTAGTTTTTTTTTTCCTGTCTGTAATTTCCATTTAGGTATTTTTATTATTTTGATATCTCCTAATTATGTTCAAGTTTTACTTTACATCTTTGGATGTATTTATAATATCTACAATAATTATTTTAAGTCCTGATTGGCTTTTCTT